AGGCTCATATTTATAGGGCTTTAAACTAGAGTCGAAGAGGGAAGGGGCTAAAACCAGGCACGCCGGTGAAGACCTAAGGGATGGTACGCTAGAATCAGAGGGGCTGTGTGTCAGTGAGGTCCTTCGGTTAGATCCACAAGGTGCTGAGTGTAAGGAGACGCACCTGAAGTGCTTCTACACGAACGCACGCAGTATGAGGAATAAAATGGATGAGCTAGAAGTCCTGGCCCAGTCCCGCAACTACGACATCATCGGCATAAGCGAAACCTGGTGGGATGAGTCCTGTGACTGGGGTGTTGCGATAGACGGTTACAGGCTCTTCAGGAGGGACAGGCAGGGTAGGCGAGGTGGTGGGGTGGCGATGTATGTGAAGCAGGGGCTGGACTGTGTGGAACTCCAGGTCGGCGATGGCAAAGTTGAGAGCCTCTGGGTAAGGATCAAGGGACGAACGAATAAAGGGGATGTCGTTGTGGGAGTCTATTACAGACCGCCTGGCCAGGACAATAGCGCCGATAAATTATTCTTTACAGAACTAAGAGAGGCCTCGAGATTAACTCCCCTTGTCCTTATGGGGGACTTCAACTTGCCAGACGTTAACTGGGAGTGCCACACGGCTGACACGAGCAAGTCCAGGAGGTTCATGAAGCACCTAGATGATAACTTCTTGGTGCAGGTGCTAACGGAGCCAACTAGGAAAGGTGCCCTCCTAGACCTGTTGCTAGAAAACAGAGAGGGTCTGGTGGGAGATGTGGTGATTGGTGGCCGCCTCGGTCATAGCGACCATGAAGTGGTTGAGTTCAAAATTTACGGTGACAGAAGGAGAAGTGCCACCAAAACCTCATCCCTAGATATGGGGAAGGCGGACTTCAGGCTGCTCAGGGAACTAGTCAGCAAGGTCCCCTGGGAAACTTCTCTTGAAGGCCTTGATGTCCACCAGTGCTGGTCACTCTTTAAGCGATGCCTCCTAGAAGCACAAGATCAGGCAATTCCTAAATATCGCAAGTCAGGCAGGCGTGGCAGGAGGCCGGCGTGGCTGACCAGGAACATTCTTATGGAGATTAGGCGGAAACAGAGAGTGTTTCGCTACTGGAAGGAGGGCCAGGTGACATGGAAAGAATACAGGGATGCTGTTCGTGTTTGTAGGAAGAAAATTCGTGTGGCCAAAGCACACCTAGAGTTGAAGCTTGCTGTGTCTGTGAGAGAAAATAAAAAGGGTTTTTTTAGATATGTGAATGGAAAAAGGAGAACTAAAGAATACATAGGGCCGCTCCTTGATAGGGAAGGTCTCCTCACAGACAATGACATAGGCAAAGCAGAGACGCTTAACGCCTTCTTTGCCTCTGTCTTCAATGCCGATGATGGGCTTCGGGACCCAGGATGGCCTGATCTGGAGGACCGGGACGGTGGGGATGACATACTCCCAACTGACCCTGAACGTGTGCGGGATCTGCTACTCCACCTGGATCCCTACAAGTCCATGGGTCCGGATGGGATTCATCCCCGGGTGCTGAAGGAGCTGGCGGATGTCATCGCGGAACCTCTCTCAATTATTTTTCAACGATCCTGGGAGTCTGGAGAGGTCCCGGTAGACTGGAAGCTGGCAAATGTTGTGCCGATTTTCAAGAAGGGTCAGAAAGAAGACCCTAGCAATTACAGGCCTGTCAGTCTCACGTCAGTGCCTGGTAAAATCATGGAGAAGATGGTTCTCGAACGTATTGAGGCGCACCTGGGGGACAATGCAGTCATTGGTCCCAGCCAGCATGGGTTTGTGAAGGGTAGGTCCTGCCTAACTAACCTGATTTCCTTTTAGGATAAGATCACCCGTATGGTGGACCAAGGGAAACCAGCTGATGTGATTTTTTTGGACTTCAGCAAGGCTTTTGACACGGTTTCCCATAGGATCCTACTGGACAAAATGTCCAGCATACAGCTAAATAAAAACATCATACGATGGGTGAGCAATTGGCTAACGGGCAGGGCCCAAAGGGTTATGGTGAATGGGGCTGCGTCAGGCTGGCGGGCGGTCACCAGTGGGGTCCCTCAAGGCTCCATTTTAGGGCCGGTCCTTTTCAATATTTTTATAAATGATCTGGATGTAGGAATAGAAGGTATTTTGAGCAAGTTTGCTGATGACACCAAACTTGGAGGAGTTGTGGACTCTGTTGAGGGTGGAAAGGCCTTGCAGAGGGATCTGGATAGGTTGGAGAGCTGGGCGATCGCCAACCGCATGAAGTTCAATAAGAGCAAGTGCCGGGTCCTGCACCTGGGACGGGGAAACCCTGGCTGCATGTACAGACTGGGCGACGAGACGCTGGAGAGCAGCCTAGAAGAGAGGGATCTGGGGGTCGTGGTAGACAACAAGTTGAATATGAGCCAGCAGTGTGCCCTGGCAGCCAGGAGGGCCAACCGTGTCCTGGGGTGCATCAAGCACGGCATCGCTAGTAGGTCGAGGGAGGTGATTGTCCCGCTCTACTCTGCGCTGGTGCGGCCTCACCTCCAGTACTGTGTGCAGTTCTGGGCAGCACAGTATAAAAAGGACATGAAAGTGTTGGAGAGTGTCCAGAGGAGGGCTACGAAGATGGTGAAAGGCCTGGAGGGGAAGACGTACGAGGAACGGCTGAGGGCACTGGGCCTGTTCAGCCTGGAGAAGAGGAGGCTGAGGGGAGACCTCATCACAGTCTACAACTTCCTCGTAAGGGGGTGTCAAGAGGCAGGAGACCTTTTCTCCATTAACACCAGCGACAGGACCCGCGGGAACGGGGTTAAGCTGAGGCAGGGGAAGTTTAGGCTTGACATCAGGAGGGGGTTCTTCACAGAGAGTGTGGTTGCACACTGGAACAGGCTCCCCAGGGAAGTGGTCACTGCACCGAGCCTGTCTGAATTTAAGAAGAGATTGGACTGTGCACTTAGTCACATGGTCTGAACTTGGGTAGATCTGTGCGGTGTCAAGAGTTGGACTTGATGATCCTTAAGGGTCCCTTCCAACTCAGGATATGCTATGATTCTATGATTCTATATTCAGCCGACTGTCCACCATCACTCCCAGGTCCTTCTCTGCCTGGCAGCTCTCCAACCACTCATCTCCCAGCCTGTAGCTCTGCTTGGGGTTATTGCACCCCAGGTGCAGGACCCGGCACTTGGCCTTGTTGAACTTCATACAGTTGACCTCAGCCCACCGGTGCAGCCTATCCAGATCCTCCTTCAGAGCTTTCCTACCCTCGAGCAGATCGACACATGCGCATAGCTTTGTGTCATCTGCAAACTTACTGAGGGTGCACTCAATGCCCTCGTCCAGATCATCGATGAAGATATTAAAGAGGGCCGGCCCCAGCACTGAGCCCTGGGGGATGCCACTAGTGACTGGCTTCCAACTGGACCTGACTCCATTTACCACGACTCTTTGGGCCCGGCTATCCAGCCAGTTTCTTACCCAATGAAGCATGTGCCAGTCCAAGTCAAGAGCAGACAGTTTCTTGAGGAGAATGCTGTGGGAGACGGTGTCATTTCTTCTGCTTTGTCCTCCTGCTTCCAAGATGGCCCAACTTTGGAGAAACCTGCCTCATGTTCTTCTTCCTCTTTTATTGTCTGGGTAGGGGTTTCCTTCCATTCTAAAGAAAAACTGAGTTTCACACCCATTTTTTCCTCTTGCATGTAGAGTCAACAGATGCTGGCTTAGGTTCATTCTCTAGCCCAGTGACGTGTCCCATTGCAGGGGCTGGAGTGGCTGCAGGGCCCATCACAGGAGTTGTTCTGGCTGTGAGGCCTTTCATAGGAATTGGAGTGGCTGCAGGGCCTATTGCAGGTTTGGGAGTTGCTATAGGGCCTATTATAGGGATGTGTTTAACCTTAAGCCCATTGCAGGAGCTGGAGTGCCTGTAGGGCCTGTTGCAGGGTTTGGAGTGGCTTTGGACAGGCTCTGGGCCTGTCAAAGGGGCTGAAGTGTGCCTGCAGGAAAAGTCACAGGGGTGGGAGAGGTGTGGACTGTAGCTTCATAAGCATAACTTAACAACCAGCATATTACAGTGTTTTGTGTCTCTTTGGAATTGCCGGGGTGATGACACGCTTAAGCATTTCACAGTTTTGTTTAAGATTGCATTTGCTCAGAGGTGAAATTCCAAAGCAATTGACGTGTCCACTGCTGTAGGTGCCTGCCCAGATCTTCGAACTCTCCCTGCCACTCCTAGCTTTCCTGCCTCTGGACAGATCTCTGGATGGCACGTTTAAGTTGTTGTTTAAACTTAAACAAAACCTGAATGGCATTCAGGAGACCTAAAAATAGGAACATGCTGGTTTGACCATCGCAAGGATATTCAAAGCTTTTAAGAGCTATTGTAATTAGCCTGGAGGAGAAGCATGAGGTGGAGGAGAAAGGGAGAGTGAAGAAGTGGGGAAAAGCATCCCCCACCACCCTGCATAGATTTAATCCCTGAGGAGAAAAGGCAAGGACTGTAATTCTTCATAGTTTCCAAGAGATGAAGAGATGGTTCCTCAGGTATTGAGGGGGCAATAATTTGATCCTATCAGAAGTCAGTGTTATCCAATACAGCAAGGCAGTAACCTTAAACCAACCCCCAGAACTGATAAACAGCATGACATGGAAGTTACTAATGTGCTATACAACACAGTTCTGAAAAGTAGCACAACAGACCCCAGATCAAAAAGATCAATATTGTGATCAGCAACTGTTAAACTCATCTAATGCTTATAACAATTTATTTTTAAAATGCTGTGGTCAGATCTGGCATCTCAACCTCTGTGCTCCACGCTAGGCACCAAGAAGACTTGCTGTGGTTTGACCCTGCAGGCAGCTCAGCACTACAAATCTATTCGTCCAATGGGACGGAGGAGAGAACTCAGAGGAAAAAAAAAAAAAAAAAAAGTAAAAGTTCATGGGTTGAGATAAAGGCAATTTAATAGAACGCAAAAGGAATTATTATTATTACTATTATTATTGACACCAATTGACTAAGGTCATGACGTTTTTGTGTTCATATCAAAAGACAGGAAAGGTGGTGGTGATTAATCAGAAATTGACAGAGCTGAGCATGACATAGATTGTATGGAATAAGTGCTGGATATTGTCTTAGTTTTGTCTGAGACAGAGTTATTTTTTCTTCCTAGTAGCTGGTATGGTGCTGTGTTTCAAATGTACAGAATCACAGAATAGTTCGGGTAGGAAAAGACCTTACAGATCACATAATTCCAACTCAACTCCCATGGGCAGGGACACCTTCCACTAGACCAGGTTGATGAAAGCCCATCTAACCTGGCCTTGAATGCATCACAGGATGGGGCACAGATCTAATAGATCCATGTCCTTCTTACACAGGTAGCCCCAGAGCTGAATGCAGTCCTTGAGGTGTGGCCTCACCAGGGCCAAGTACAGAAGGACTGTCACTTCCCTACATCTGTTGACCACAGTATCCTTGGTACAAGGCAGGCCTTCTTACAACTTCCTCGTAAGGGGGTGTCGAGAGGCAGGAGACCTTTTCTCCATTAACACCAGCGACAGGACCCGCGGGAACGGAGTTAAGCTGAGGCAGGGGAAGTTTAGGCTGGACATCAGGAGGGGGTTCTTCACAGAGAGAGTGGTTGCACACTGGAACAGGCTCCCCAGGGAAGTGGTCACTGCACCGAGCCTGACTGAATTTAAGAAGAGATTAGACTGTGCACTTAGTCACATGGTCTGAACTTGGGTAGACCTGTGCGGTGTCAAGAGTTGGACTTGATGATCCTTAAGGGTCCCTTCCAACTCAGGATATTCTATGATTCTATGATTCTATGATTCTTGGCCAACTTAGCACACTGATGGCTCATACTAGGCCGACTACCCACCAATATCCCCAGGTCCTTTTCCCCTGGGCAGCTGTCCAGCCGCCCTTCCCACAGCATTGCATGGAGTTGTTGTGCCCCAAGTGCAGGACCCAGCACTTGGTCTTGTTGAACTTCATGCAGTTGGCCTCAGCCCATGGGTGCAGCAATTAACAAGACAGAAGTCACCTCATGAACATTTTTAAAGGAATGGGCTGGCTGCTGCTCTTGCAGCTTCTTGGCAAGACACAGCCAAGCTATGAGCCTCCTCCTCTCCAGTCATGGACTCAAGCTGAAGGGCCAAGATGACCCATATGCAGGCCTTCTTTCTGCTTGGGTCCTCCTGGGTCTGGAGGCAGAGGGGATCCCCCAGTCAGCATGCCAAGCAGGTGCCTTCTGCTGGCCTAGCAGGGCCACTGCCAGATGTCAGCCCGAAAGTGCAGATCCCAGGTCTATGTCAAGGGTGACCTGCCACCTACAGACAGAAGTGATCTCGCAGTCCCTGCCACAGCCACATTCCTGCTGCTGCAGCAGGAGATCCTGAGGTAGAGCTGACTTCTCTAGTCCCTTAGAGACAAGGGTTCACTTTTCTGGATTAGAAATTTAGCAGATGGGCTGTCCTGTTTAGGGTGTCAGGTCTGTGGTTAGGTTATGGACAAGCTTTGTGGAATAGGTTTTTGTTTTACATCTGCCTAGAAGTCTAGGTTTAATGGAGCATGTTAATGCTAGTATTGAAGGCAGGGATTAGGGTGAACACAAGAGTAAAGGCAAGGGTAAAGGGTAAAAAAAGTGGGCTGAGTTTTGCTTCATGGAATAATTTGAGTTCAAGCATTAGAATAGGGGATTCTTGTCAGGGCATTGGAGTGGCATTTAGGTTTAGGGATTACTCTTTAAAACTCTTCAAAAATGGGTTTTCATTAAAACTGGTTACTTTTTAAAATTGGCTAATAGCCTTACAGTTTTAATTCTGTGTTAAAGCAGCATCAACATTACCTGCAGCCTCTTACCTCTCCGAAATTGTTGTAGAGGTTCACTCACTCTTCTCCCTCCCTCTCTAGGGATGTCTGGATCAGCCCCTGGCTTTGTGTTTCATGGATTACTGAGGGCAGATGGAGAGACATCAGTCAAGGCAGGGAGGTGCTCAGAGCAAGGTGAGAGCAAGGTGGGGAAGCAAGGTGGGTATCTAAGTCCTGCAGGGAAACAGGTGCAGACATGTGACAGCATAGGACAGCGTGTGGTGGTTGTTGTCAAGGATCTTTTGCAAGATGAAAGCCTTGACAGAGCCAACAGCTTTGTCTGCTGGGCTCTGGCTCTTGTCTCCGTCAGTGATGCCTATGAGGAGACACCTCATCCTTACAGCAGTAGGGCCTCAATGCCTCCTCATCCCCCTCCAGGAGCCTGGGAGATGTCCTCCTGTAGCCTTGTACTTGGCACTGCCCTTACCCACTGTGCACTGACCCAGGAAAAGGCCTAAACTGCGCTGGAGGGACAGCATCTCCCTTCCCAGAGGCTGGGGTCAGGGCCCGACTCTTGGACTTCATGGGACACATCAAGGTTTCCTCAGCATCAGGGCCACCTTTCCTGGGCCTTGGTCTCCCCATCATCACTGCCTGCCCTTTTCTGCTCTAACAAGTCCATGGGGAGGCTTTGTCAGCAATGTCCCTCAGTGGGACCGTTAGCACTGCGAGATGCTTTGGACTTTGCATCAGACTTGGACTACTTGAGAAGCTGCTTCAGCCACCCAGATCAAGCTCCTCTGCCAGGCACAGCATTGCTGGGGGCACTGCGTGCAGCTGGCATGGGGAGAGGAGAGAAGGGGGAGAGAGGTTCAGGGCAGCCTGAGGTGGGGGGGAAGGCAGAGGAGAGCTGGCAGAGGGAGAAATCTTCCCAGCCACCTCCCCATGGTAAGTCTCTGGGTGCAGGGCAATGCCGCTGCACACCCTGCCACGCTCTCCTGGAGCTGGCCCAGCCCTCAGCTGATGGGAGCTGTCAGGAGGACGCTCAGTGTTGGAGTTGAAGGGCAGGCAGGGCTTGTGTGCTGCAGGGTCAGCATGCAGGGCCCGAGGGCTCCCTCCTCTTAGGGCCGGCTGCAGGCTATGCAGCCAGGGGTGCAGGCAGGGGTGGCCAGGGCAGGGTCCCTGCTGTGCCCCAGAGGCTGTGTGCTGAGGCAGGGCCTCTGCCACCTGCCAGGCTCAGCACTCAGCCTGCCAGGGGAGCTGCCAGGGGCTGAAGCTTCGGGTGGAAGGACCCCCCCCGGTACCGCAGGGCAGGGCAGGGCAGGGTCCTGCTGCTGCCCAGAGTCTGCTACCTGGGGCAGGCTGCTCACAGCCCCACACCTCCCCAGGGCACTGCACTGCAGAACTGCCTGGCAAGAGCTACCTGAAGGCAGTGCACTTTTTACAATCTGCTTCCTTTTCCTGCCCATGTGCTAAGGCAGAAGGATGGTAATGGAGTAGGAGCATCTGTAGTAGAGACAAAGGCTCCTTGAGCATTGCTGCTGCTCTGAGGCACCTCACACACCTCAGCATACAGACACCACCTTTGTTGTTTCTTAAGGAGTTATTTGACCTTCTCCTGTCCTGCAGACAAGGAGATGACCTTGCCCAGTGGACTTCTCAGATCACTCAGGGTTCCCTTTTACCAGTCTACACCAGGACTGACTGCTGCAGAGCCCACAGCACAGCCCCCTGCTTCTTGTGGCACCTTCAGAGCACCAAGCAGAGGTAAGCCAAGCAGCTGCAGAAAGCTCTTCCTGTGAAAGGAATGGAAAAGAATGTGTTCTGTGTGACTGTTCTATGAGACGTGCAAAGTATTTTGGTAAGAGAAGTCCTTAAATTTTACAATGTCACTTCTTCTTTTGGACAGACTACCTTGCTCAGGGGCAATAAATGTGTAACAACAGCTCCATCACCGAGTTCCTCCTGCTGGCATTCGCAGACACACGCGAGCTGCAGCTCCTACACTTTGGGCTCTTCCTGGGCATCTACTTGGCTGCCCTCCTGGGCAACGGCCTCATCCTCACTGCTGTAGCCTGCGACCACCACCTCCACACCCCCATGTACTTCTTCCTCCTCAACCTCGCCCTCCTCGACCTGGGCTGCATCTCCACCACTCTGCCCAAAGCCATGGCCAATGCCCTCTGGGACACCAGGGCCATCTCCTATCAAGGATGTGCTGCACAGGTCTTTCTGTATGTCTTCTTGATTGCATCAGAATTTTATCTTCTCGCAATCATGTCGTATGACCGCTACGTTGCCATCTGCAAGCCCCTGCACTACGGGAGCCTCCTGGGCAGCAGAGCTTGTGCCCAGATGGCAGCAGCTGCCTGGGGCAGTGGCTTTCTCAATGCTGTCCTGCACACGGCCAACACATTTTCCCTGCCTCTCTGCCAAGGCAATGCTGTGGACCAGTTCTTCTGTGAAATCCCCCACATCCTCAAGCTCTCCTGCTCAGATGCCTACCTCAAAGAACTTGAGCTACTTGTTTTCAGTTTTTCCTTAGTCTTTGGTTGTTTTGTTTTCATTGTGGTGTCCTATGTGCAGATCTTCAGGGCTGTGCTGAGGATGCCCTCTGAGCAGGGCCGGCACAAAGCCTTTTCCACGTGCCTCCCTCACCTGGCTGTGGTCTCCCTGTTTGTCAGCACTGTCCTGTTTGCCTACTTGAAGCCCCCCTCCATCTCTTCCCCATCCCTGGACCTGGTGGTGTCATTTCTGTACTCAGTGGTGCCTCCAGCACTGAACCCCCTCATCTACGGCATGAGGAACCAGGAGCTCAAGGATGCCTTGAGGAAACTGATGACCTGATATCTTTAAAAAAAAAAAAAAAAAAAAAGCCAAAGCCCATTGTCTTCTACATATGACTCATAATTTCCATTGCAGGAACATGGTTTTCTTTTTGACAATTTTTCATACTCTGGAGCGTGTCATCACAAGCTCAGAGCTGTGGGGTGTATGGGCAGGACGCTCAGCAATGACTGAGCAGGCCATTGCTAATTGCTCACTTGCTCTTCGGGGGATGGGATAACTCAGAAGAGCAGGGCCTGCTGTATGTGTATGGAAAGAGACATGGAAAGAGAAACCCAGTGCTGGTGCCAGCAGGCACATCATATGTGTGTGGAGAGATGAACACGAAGGAGCACAAAGGCCATCAGCTATTTCTAGAAGTCTCATGAAGGCCAGCTGGGCAGATAGTGTCACAAGACCAAGTAACGTCCCCTGGGAAGCCACCTGAAGGCAGCTGTGGGATGTGCCTCCTTGAACCGAGGTCTCTGTGCCCATTCCTCATGCCTTGGGGTATCTCAGAGGAGGGCAGAGCAGGGCGAGGCACCACATGGCCAAGGTGCCTCCCAGCCTCTGGCAGTGACTGCAGGAGCCAGAGGGACACTGCAGGCACTGCAGTGCACTGCCTGTGGATGTGCAAGGCAGGGACCTGTGTCTCTCAACAGCCCCATGTGTATGAGGAGCATGGGAGGCCAGCTCAGACATAGGCACCTCACAGAGTCCTGACGCTGCCCTGTGTGACTCCAGAAACAACCCCTGTTGTCCCTGTGAGATTTCTGTCATGCCTCTTGCGCAGATTCAATGCACATGCTCCTCTCCTCTATGTCACACTACCATGACTTTCTGGACTGGGCTGTCAGAGATTTGGATCATAGATTTCTGGGACTTGGAAAAGGCAGGCATCAAAAGCATCTTAAGGAATGACAATAAATAAACAAATAAATAAATAAAAGGGCGAGGAGAATTGCAACTGTCACCTCTGCACCTGCTGACATGATGGGGAAAGTCCTGCCACAGCCGTCTTCACGTATGTGGCAGAAAAAAAAAAAGAAATTGCTGAAGCAGTAGGGAAGGGAAAAGAAGGCAATGTGGTGAACCTGGACTTTATCAAGGCCTTTGCCATGGTCTTCTGCAGTCTCCCTTTAGCCAGACTGGTGAGATTTGGACTGAAGAAACGGATGATGATGTGAGGGGGAGGGTGGCTGGACATTAGTGGTACAAAGTCCTCCTGCCAGCCAGATACCAGCAGCATCCCTCATCACCACTAACCCTATTTGTTATTGTTATAAATGGCTCAGGATTCAAATTAGGATTAAATGAAATATAGGATTTATTAAAAGAATATAAAGGAATAGAGGTAAGCAAACAGCGCTGGGTGCACCGGGAGTCTCCGCTCCACCAGGACGCACACCAGTTACATCAAGCAGCTGATTTTTATGCACCTAGACTAATACATATTCATTACTACTTCTAAAAAAAATAGATTATTATAATTAGCTTCCGGGGTCCAGTTCCTCCTACTGGAGCATGCGCATCAGTCTCCTCTGGGGGTCTCTAGGGGTCTTTCATGCTGAAGGCTCGTAGTCTTCCTCTCACCCTTTGTACTCATTCGGCACTATTCCAAGTTTATGGAACACTCTCTGTACACTCTCCACAGGTCTTGTCTCCCAACCATCCTTCAGCTTCTTTTTTCTTCCTCTTAAACTCTTGGCCCCCCTGGCCAGATACCAAGGATCCTCATAGTATCTCATTACAGTCACCAGCAGTCACCAGTTATTATCAGTTGTTCTGAAACTCCCAAACAGCTTGACAATTCGCGAGCAATTAAAACATTCTTTCCCAGCTATTCACAGTCATCTATATAACATCTATAGCAGTGTTAAATCAATCTCAAAGAAGACAGAAAAAAAACACCTGTAACTGTTAGAACTAAAAGTCAGGAATAACAAAAGCAAACAGGTTCATAAATTTAAGGAGTGTTTTCTGAAGACTTGATAAATTGACTAGAATGAGGGGGAGACTGGGACACACTGCATCTGTGGTTCAAGAATTAAATTGCCAGTGCAGGGCCCAGAGGCAGACAGGATTCAAACAGAATTATTCTTTATGGACACGAATATATAGACACGAATTTATGGACACGAATTTTTGGACACGAATTGGAATTGTTAAAACATTCCTCACAGTTATCTCCCTTTATGATGACACGGAGCACATTTTCAGCTCATTTGTGGCTGATGCCAAGCTAGGAGGAGTCCTTGAGCAACTTCACCTTGCGCAGAGCACAACACTATGTGGGCTGCTGCAGGGCAAGTTAACTCCATCCCTGTCAGACCCAGTACAAGCAGACACTCGGTTGCCATGCCGACTGTGAGATCCCCTCTGCCTACATATCCAGTAGGACCCTTACAGGAAGAAGACCTGGCTATAGGTTGTCATGTTCCTTCTTGGCGGTAAGGAACTGGACAGGCTTGAGAGGTTGCTTGTGGGAACCTCATGAAACTCCCACCTGCTCTCATGAGACACCACCTGGAGTACCGCGTTCAGCTCTGGGGCTCCCAATACAAGAATGACTTGAAGCTATTAGGGTGAGTCCAATCAAGGACCACAAGGATGATCAAGGGGCTGGAGCACCTCTCCTATTAAAACAGGCTGAGGGAGTTGGTGTTGTTCAGCCTGGAGAAGGCTCTGAGGAGACCTTAGAGTATCCATCCAGTATTTAAAGTGGTCCAACAGAAAAGCTGGGGAGAGACTTTTTCTCAGGGTGTGCAGTGATAGGACAAGGGGAATGGTTTTAAACTTAAAGAGGGTAGATTTAGAGTGGATAGTCAGATGAAATTCTTGATTTGGAAGTGAGGCACTGGCACTGGTGCTGTGGGTCCAGAGGACACCCAGAGGGAGTTTGGATCAGCCCATGCCCTTGTGTTTGAAGGAACAGCTGGTGAGAGTGGAGAGGCAGCAGTGAAATCATGGGAATATCGGAGTGAGAGCAAGGTGGGGAAGAGAAGTGCCTGTCTGCAGCCTTCAGAGAGGTGTGGAACAGCATAGAAAAGTCTGCAGAGGAGAAATCAGAGGGCTTTGACAAGAATGGAAGGCTGCAGCAGCACTGATTCCTTTGTCCCCTTGGCCATGGCTTATGAGGAGACATGTTATACTTGCAATAAATGACTGAGTCCCAAATAGGATTGCAATTAAAATTTACAATTTCTTAAAGGAATAGAGGCAAGGAAACAGCACTGGGTGCACCAGGAGTCTCCGCTCCACCAAGACGCACACCTATTACATCAGGTGGCTGGTTTTTATGCTCCTAGGCTAATACATGTTCTACACCACTTTTTGGAAAAGGCAGGGTTATTATAATTAGTTTCCTGGCATCCGAACCATCCCATGGACGCATGCGTATCAGTCTCCGGTGGTCCCTCTGGGGGGTCGCTCGTACTGAAGGCTCATAGTCTTCCTTCCAGTCTTTGTCCTTCAATTGTTCTTCATCTTCCCCCCTTTTTATTATTTGGTGATATCTTAGCTGGATATCAGAGACCCGTGCAGCGCCACATGCAGTAGTTAGCAGTTATTTTGAAACCCCTTTGTTCTCTTCTCCCAGATATCAGACTTGTCCCATGCAAAAGTCAGCAGTTTTGGGAAACTCCTTTGTTCTCTTATCCCCTAGACCTGAGTCTCAAGGTTTACCCTTCAAATGCTCTATTAACACAAACTGCTAGACTCTGTTTCACTGAGACGTGTGGTTATCCAAGGGTATGTAAGCCAGAAGGTCACATTCATCATACCATGCAGCCCTATCATTGTTCCATATTGACACGAATCAGATGAACATATTTCACATACTCGTGGCATTGGGACAATGTATTCTCCTTTGAACCCTGTGAAAACGCTGGATGGTGTCATAATGCTGTCCTTCACATGATATTATGGGCATCGTCCTACCCCACAGACCCCAGGAAGAGCCCTGAGTGAGACATGGAGGTGCTGGGGGTGCAGGATCTCGCCTCCCTGTGGCTGGGGTCAGGCCTTGGCCTTCTGCTTCAGCAAAAAAAACTGAGACATTTCTCAGCACAGTGTCTTTGCCTGTCTGTAATCAGGGCCTCTAGTTATCTGCCGTAAGAGTTCCCATGTGAGGCTTTCATAGAAACAGACTAGAATGACCAACGGAGTGTAGAGTATAGAGCAGTCTAATAGTACGGAATAGAGTAGCCAGCAGAGGTGAGACAGGTACTTTGATATAATGAAAGCCATCAGAAAGCTGATCCCAGTTAGATGACTGATATGGGGAGGTCAGGAGTAACCTGGCCAGGAGAGATGTGAGATTTGGGGGAGGGAAGAGAAGGGAGGAGGAGCTCAGAAGCTTACCTTTGTAGAGGTAAGAGGGTTCCTGTAATGTTGAGGCTGCTGTGACACTGACTTCAAACAGTCTTGTAGGGCCTATAAACTATTTTCAACAGTAACAATAATCCCTCAACCTAAACATTACACAAACACCCTGACAGGAATCCACTAGTGTAATGCAGAAATCCAAGTATCACCTGAAGAAAAACTCAGCCCATAGCCCCTTTCCCTTACATTTACTCTCTTGCTCACCCGAATCACTGCCCCTAACACTAACATTAAATGGCTCTATTTCATCTTAGACTTCTTGACAGAAGTAAACAAAACCCTTAAGCATGATGTGTGCCCATACCCTAACCAGAGACCTGACACCACAAGCAGAACACCAAACGCTCCATCTAAAACTTTGCTTAATCTCTAACGCAGAAAGGCCAAATCTAGTCCTGAGGAGAGTAGAGAGAGGTCAGCTCTACCTCAGAATCTGATGGCCCAGCAGGAGGAATGTGACTGTGGCAGGGACTGTGAGGTCACTTCTGTCTCTGCACTTGATAGGGCAGCAGCAGGAACGTGTCACAGAAAGGGACTGGGAGGTCACTTCTGTGTGTAGCTGG